ATTCCAAGTTTGGGTTTGTTCCATGATGCAATTTGATGTTCTACGCATTGCGTGTCCTATTTGCAATCAAGGTGATTTACTACTTTCTTCTTCAGCAGAAAACTGGTTTGTTCTCCGAAAACGTATGTTATTGCTGCTGATGTCTGACCAACCGACAAGAAGAATCTTGTGTAAACAGTTGTTTATACACACCAGTACCCTTTTGACGATGGTTGTAGTAGTTCTACAAGTTTCAGCTCCGTCGGGCAGAACCCTCTCGACGATGGTATCGAAGATTCTGATTGTGGTGTTGACTGACAGTTGTTTCGAGTTCTAGATGTTCTTCACTTGAAGTAATAATGCCTTTGTTTTGTTAATCTGTGCCTTCACATTTGCATGTGGTCGATATGTTTGTCAATGGTGTTGCATAGCTACGTGAAAGATTTCATCTATTTCAGATCTTCTCCATCTATCAAGTGTGATTTGGTTGGTGTTCACTGGGTTATATTTTAGGATATTGCTTATTCCTTTGTGTTTGTCGAGACGAAGTTGTGCAGAGACAATAGCTACACTGTCTGTCTTCACCTACATTTGTTGCTGTGAGTAGGATAGAAGAGCCAAGTCATCTGTGAAGTTCAAATGCTCTGTTTGTATCCAGGCTGTTTACTGTATCTCGTGCTTCCTCTAAGAGTATATGTCCTGATAAATCTTCTAACTGAATGCTTGAATCAGGGTTCTACATTCTTCAAATAAACTTAAGCTACATTTCAGATAGCATTGGGCATTTGGAAGGTCCCGGCACCCTACATAGTTTCAAGATAGACGATCACCCAATCAGAAAGGTAACACGTGACTCTTCCCATTCTAGATATTTTTTAGAGACTTCTATTCAATGATGACTGGATAAAATGTTTTCAGTATTTTCAGGGCCTCTCTGAGCTCTTTTCGAGGAGTACTCTGGATCTCATCAGTCTTCATAATGTGGTCGATCACCAGAAAGAAGAGAAAAAGCGAGAGTAAACAGTGTTGTCTGATGCTGTCCTTCTCATAGATTACATCTGCTGCACTCCATGCATAGACGTGAATTGTACTCAATCGTAAGAATCCCATTTGATGCTGACGATTACCCCAGGTGCACTACAATGTTGAAGAGGACTTCGTAAGATTCTCCCACCCACACTGTCCAAGCTTTCTCGTAGTTGAGAAAGTTGATATATAGCAATGAGTTCTATTCAAATGATTGTTCAACAATGATCAGTAGTGTCGCGATTGTGTCTGGGAACGACGATCATTACGGAATACAGCCTGTTGATCTCGAAGTTGGGCATCTACTGAATATTTCAATCGGTCCAACAACACTCTGATGAAATCTTTCCCTGGTATTGAGAGTAGTGCGATGCCGCTGTAGTTCTCGTATCTGCTTATATCATCTTTGGTATCTTGAAGGGGTGTCTTTCTTGCCAGTCTGTCAGTGGCAGTTGTTCATGCCCACAAATCTTCCTGAAGAAATAGTGGAGCATTTTGCAGTTGCCTCTGTCTGACTTTATTGCTTCATGTGTCATGCTGTCTAGTGTAGCGTGGCGTCAAGTCCCAGCTGACTATAAACACCTCTACCAAGAAACACGTGCCAAATAAATCAGAAGGCGGATTGGAATCAAGTTTATTCAATTGCCGATCTCGTGGTATCGAACGAATACCAAGATTGTGCCAAGAAATGGTCCAAGCGGAAGCAGAAGAACGGAGTACGTGAGAACAAAGCCAAAACCGCGGAACAATAATGATGGAAAGTAATGGAAGCAGAAACTGGCTGTAATTAGCACATTTAAACAAAAGCACATTAAAACAAGCACTGGCACAGTTGGTTATAATAGTAATTGATTTCATTATACCGGTCGTGTTCTCGTGATACATTAAGCCACTACACTAGTCTCGCTGCTTATTCACCATTGATTTGTCCGATCGCCATCTTGATTTCTTCGTCGTTGGTGAAGTGGCATCTATAGGAAGGTCTGTAGGTGCTACTTTGATGTCCAGTGTGTTTATTGTGGCTGATCAATTCAAGAGTTCTTCAAAGTGCTCTTCTTACGAGCTTGGCTGTTCCCGAATCTCAGTGGCTGTCTCACCTTTATTGTCCTGGACTGGTCACTCTTGTTTACTACATTTCCCAGTTGGCCTCTTTGTTGCATCATACATTTGTTTCATATTTCCTCGACTTGTAGTGTTTACTGATGTCATTGCTCGGCCTTGTATATATTTCGTTTGTCAGCTCGAATACTCCACTCCACCTGATTGTTCGACTGTTTCGACTCTTTTCTCCTTGTTCCTCATTTCTTGCTCAGATTATCAACAGTGATCCATTCTTTATGATAGTGTTTCTTGTGGTACGGCGCCTCCTGGTATATCGAAGTTAATGTTTTTAGTCTCATTCCAGTTGTTTGAGTAGATCTTTGAAAACTTGGAATCTGTTGCTGATAGCTGTCTTGAATTCATTGAGTTTTTCAGTACTTCATAAAAGTCCGAATTAAACGTTTGTGGTGCTGACACCTTAGTTTTCAAGTGCTTGTTTGGTTTCATTTTCATCTTGGCAACCAACAGTTGATGATGTGAAGGCATGTCAGCTCCTCTTTATGTTCTCACGTTTCCCGTAGTACCTTCTGAACATTTTATTGATACGAAGTTGGTCAATCCGGTTCTCGATGTTATGATTCGGAGAAACACATGTAACCTGAAGTTCATTATCTGCCGCCTCCTTGAGCTTTCTTATTAACGTGTTACCAGAAACGGCCGTCTTCCTTGTAGTTACGATGTAAAATCTGGTGTCTACGCCACTACCGTAAATGCCACCTATTTGACCAAAAAGCTGGATATGTGAAGTTGAATTAGTCGGTACACAAACGAGGAAAGTAGATATTGTTAGGGGATGAACGAGATTTCGCACACATGCTTAAAAGACTATCTGGATGATATAACTCTGAAATGAGACGACGGGCCACTTGTATCAATTCTCTTCTTAGATTTGAAGAAAGCCTTTGATAAGGTTCCACAGAAAAGGCTTCTCACCAAATTGAAATCCTTTTGAGTCAATAACCCAATATATTCATTGTTTGCCTTATTCCTAACAGAACTAAAACAAATGGTTAAGCGGAACGACTCTCATCACAAAGATCAATAACAGGTTGAGTTATTCATGGAAGTATATTACGGTCACTCTTGTTCCTGATGTATATAAACAATATATGCAGAATCATAAAATTTGCGAGACTATACTTATACGCTGATGAACTGAAAGTCGCACACGGCTTTAAAGCTTAAAGCTTAAAGCTTAAAGCCATATCTGATGCATATCTCATAAGTTGCTACAACTATCATCGCCACATATCAGTAACTAAGTCCTATATCTCTTATAATCACTTGCATACCTCTCTTGTTTGTTCCATCTTCTTAGACACTAGCACATAACTAACTACTTTATTATTCTTGAAACAATTATCTCTCAGCATTTGGATTATAACTCAACAAACCTGTCTGGTAGTGCGATAGCTGCTGGTATCCAGAAACCCCAATGTCCTGAGATAAACATACTCACTCAAACCACAAGATATGCGGACCCATAAATGACTACCAAACTGAATAGAATCAGTTCAGTTGAGTGACTAGGCTACCACTCATTGGACATCATTAAATGCATGAGACTGTATCGGAGTAATAAGAGACTAGCGCAAAAATATCAATCCGTAAATACAAGCTGGTGAAAAAATGTCGGACGTTAGACTTGAGTTTGAGGTTTGATTAGAATAATTTCAGCAAAAAGGCCAAATATATTGTTATTCAGAACAAACTGTGACTGCACAAACACCTATTCTAACGTCATTACATTACATTTTGTGAGTTACCAAGGTCTCATTTACTGACAGTGAGGCCACTGAACTCAAACGTGTGACTGTAACATCAACGGGTCCATTCTTATCCACCTGATGTGGAGCTAACACCTCATAGCATAAACCGACTTCATTCGGACGTCAGCCAAGATAAACTATATAGTGACGCCTAAAAAGAGAAGAAATAAGTAACTGTGAACTTGTGGCGGGGTGAAACACTCAACAAAAAATAGTGAAAAAATTATTGAGCACAGTATTGAGTCATTTATGATATGCCGAAATACACATGTGGCGGTAAATAAATCGCCGAAACAAATAGTTTTATAAGTCTTTGGCTTTGAAGCTTTCCTCATCATTTTGCTGATTGAAGGCTCTCCGCACAACGACACCATTGTGAACACCCTTCTACACATTCCTCTCAACAACTAGTGAAGTTAGATATTTAGGAAACATCGACTATTGATCAGACATATAACTGAACTCTTTTATTCTCAACACAAGAGTTAACTGGGTTTGGAACCTCGATTGAAATGGTGTCAGGGACAAAACGGTTAGCAGGCCCGGAATATCTGTGGCATCTTAAAACGAAATGGGATTTCATGAATTACAGAAGCATTAGAATTTATATGATCGTGATTTATCATAGCCATCCATAATCCTCTTCGAAATAACATGTGTTATTGTTTTATTGGAACTTATACCTAAAGAATGATTATTTGTTGGTAGGACAAAAAAAGATGATACACGAAATCAAGTGAACACTATCTTTGTGACCATATTCTGGAAGTTGTATAATTTCCCCACTAAATACATTATTGAGGTTTTCTAGTGATCTAGGCGAATTTAATCTGGAAGTTTTACTTCAGTTCCAACTGTATTAAGGAATATTGTTTTGTGAATCTTCTTTCAATTTTACATTTCTTTATCAAATAATATTTTCTTAGCCGGAACTATATCTTTCTGTAACTGAATATTTTGGCTCACAGTACAGATGAAAATTTTAAGGAACTAACGTTTGCGCATTTTTAACTTTTGACTATAAATGTGGATTTTGTTTAAATATGCCATTACATCTGTACTTTTTAGGAATGTCTTTTTGAAAGCATTTTCTATTTTGGATCAAATTAATGATCTAGTTTAAGAATGATAGCATATCATAGTCTGATTATACTGCTTCTGTTAAATCGATCGAACTGTCTAGAATTTACAATCGGTGCATTGTTAAGTGATGATGAGGTTATTTCTAGTTTTAAAAGGATGGTTTCATCCGTCAGGGATAGCGTTTATGATGATGCAATCACTTTCAAAGCTGCTGGAGAGGTACCTCAGTTTTCACTTTAATTTTTAAGACTCTTGCTCTAAATGCTCTTAAAGCGACGAATCAGGTCTGTAACCTGTTCAATTCTTCTGAGGGTCGAATGTTTGCTCTAATAATCTCCCATCCAAATGGAGCACCTGGATCTGCACCTTTATCCGTATCATTTACCTGTGCATTTTATCATCTACCGGTCATTGGAGTTAGTGCAAGGCACTCAATTTTCAGTGACAAGTACAGCCATGGTAGCTTTCTCCGTACAGTTCCACCATTCAGCAATGAAGCATCTGTTTGGGTTGATTTAATAAAAGCGTTTGGTTGGCGCGAAGTCTGTGTAATTCATTCAGATGACCATGATGCCAAAAAAGTGTTATCGTACTTAGAGTCCGCTTCTCAGAAAGGAATAGACTTCAAGGTTAGTCAATGTTCATTTCTTTAGTGGTTTATACTTGAATTAATATGGATCTAAACTCTCATCTCATTAAATATTGATGGGGAAAATATAGAATATTCACAACGTTTTGAATTTAATTGCATGCTTTTTCAATTCAGGCTTCACAACTTACAGAAAGCTTCTACTGGTTAATGACAGTCTTCTTCGCGTTTCATAATCCAAAACTTGCAGTTTACTTCTCCGTATTCTGCTTTTGAAATTAATAAAGACTCATCTCATGTCAAAATATCCCATAAAAATCATCAAAAATAACCATAAGAAAGAAGGCAAATCGTTTGATTTTCCTTACCTGTTCTTATAGCTTAGTTTCTACGGTTAACTTTGTTTCCTTTGGTAAGTTAAAGTAACTTTTTGGAAAATTCGGCCTTTGGTGTTGTCAGAGTTTTAAAGTCTAGTAGGCTGTTTAGTAAGAGCTTCAGATTTGGACATTGATCACTCGGGATGACTGTCTTTACTAACTACAAGTAACATATTCAGGTACTTAATTTGTTTGATTTTCATGTGTAAATGGCAATCATCATAAGTCGTTGTTTATCAAACCTACATTGCAATGATAAATAAAATAATTCTCAGTTGCATGTAAAATATGGAAAAGGTAATTTACGTGGATGTATCAAGACTTGCAGTCATTTGATATCTTTACTTTGAAATCAGTGAAATCTCATGTTTGGTAAATGTAGACCAGACGAAACAGTAATATATTAGGCAGTGATATGTTTACTCATGCGTTGTGTTCGTGCCACATCGACTGATTCGATATTTTAATTCTTGCTCAACCTTATTAAACCTATATAAAATATGGATGCCTTCACATAAGTTATCTGTCTTCACTTAAAGGCGTCTGAAAAACTAGTAGCACCCAGCACATCAATGAAGCTACAGTTTGAGCTATTTAGTTAATGAGTAGCAGTTAGTCTTTGACAAGCTTACATATAGCCTAGATATGCATCGTAGGTCTTAAGAGTCTGAAGCGTAGCATGTATGGGAATTTTTAAGCTAGAGACATAAAAAAAGTCGTGAGCTGAGGACTCAACAGGATAACGTAAGGCGTTTACATTTAAGCATGTGATAGGACTTAACAAATATACAAACGTTAAACTGCAGCAGTTAGGTATAACTTAACAGAATTAACGTTCTAAAAGCATGATATATTGATTATCTATTCGTTATTATGTTAATTCTGAACTTACGTTTTACCTATGCCAGAGATCTTCATCATACAATCCTCCGTTTTTCCGAACCAGGTTCCCCTATTATTATGTGTTATTAAAATTATCGTAAGTCCTTAAACAAGATAATCAGTCAAAATTTTGAAAATATTTTTGGTTTCAGGAATAAAACAAAAAGGGTAACGCTTTAACTTGTCACAATTTAATTTACATTGAGGCAAGACTTTTTTATGACTGATGTAAGTTGTTTGGGGTGACTGGCATATTAAAAACTTCAGTGTCGGATTGTCATCCTTGTCAATGCACTCACATTTCAGAGTGTAAAGCAGTCATTCTGAGATCAAGATCAAAGTTCAAAAGAAGTAATTACGTTTGTAACAAGCGCAGTACTATTATTCAGAAAACAGAAGGCCGTTGCTACAATTATAATAAGATATTTTTACTAAACTATTTCAGTTCATTTAGTTTTTGGTGTATCTGCCACTTCTGTGGCGATCAGTCTACTACACCTATTAGTTGACTCTTTCAGTACTGTCGAAAAATTAGAGCTTTATTTTTTTGTTTGGCTAAATCATAATCTTTACAAACATTCCTCACTCTTTCCACAATATTTTAACTAACCATAATAACACCACTGTTTGTTTAAGTTAAGCTGACGTTTCTAATTTATAGGTATTAGTATGGACAGAAGTGTTATTATTTTTGAATAAAGAATTGGATTACTGCGCAAAGAAAATTGCATTTGTTTAGAGATTTCATTTTAAAAGTAAGCACCGTATGTGGGCTTTACTTTTCATTCACATTTTTGAGATGGTCTAGCTAGCGTTAGAAACTAATACTACAACGGTAAATATTTATTTTTCTAATGCATATAATATCAAATTTCTCATACAAACCACAGAAAAGGACTGAAATTTTACTTTTTAGATTGAGTCATATATCTTCTTTCATATGATCTAGATACAGTGGTTAAAGAATTAAAGTGCGGGGATTTGGGTACTAACCACTATCACTTTCGTCATCTCTAAAGATTATGTGATTCTTCAATATTACTGAGTCCAAGGAAATGTAATTTGTTCTAGGCATTATATACTGTAGTTTTATACGAAATATTTTATATTACTGAGTGCCTTTTAGTCTCCTTGAACACTTGCTACTTTGTAATGTGAAGGTAGTTCTGTTAAATACTTTCAAAGATTACTCGTCAAGTTGCTATCAATACAGATGAAGAGGATGCTGCTCAAATGAAGGATTTTATCAGTCTCTTGCAACCAGTTCGAAACGAACAAACACGAGTTATTTTGCTGTTTTTACGCCGCAAGTTTGCAGAGTATGTGTTTTTGGCCGCACGTAAACTGGGCATGCTGGAAGCAGAATGGGCTTGGATTGTCACTGAACAGGCTTTGGATGCTTCAAATATACCAAATGGTAAGTTAATAATTATTTTGACTTTGTTTAATGAAAATTTTAAAGAGATGTGTTTTGTGAAACTAATCCACAAAGCTTTTAAAAGAGTCGTTAACAAAGTTCTGATGGATTTGGTGTTTTCACTCGAAATTCAACTGGATATTATTTTGCAGTGTTTTTTAACAACTGGCCTTTTATTGATTATGAGTAGTCACATTACTTTTACTATAATTATATCGTTTCATCGTTTGCTATGGTAAGGAAAATACTAAGCAAGAGGACATTACAATATCCAACGTGTAATTACTAATTTTAAATCATTTGATTATAGTGAAATTAGAACCTATCATATACGTGGATCAATCAAATATGCTGTAAGTCTTTTCTACACAGCCAGAAACAAAACGTGTGCGAGTAAAAATTATGCTAAAACGATCAAATTAAAGACGACAAGTAAAACGGAGAAATGAGTGGAATGAAGTTTAGTCCGAAAATAAATGAATAGAACGAACTAAATGCCAAATGAGCTTACCGTAATGAAAATGATTTTCAACGATGTCGCCTAAAGTTCTAAGACATTAACTTATCAGTATTCCTTAAAATACTCAACCGAATTCACGGGCTGATACCAGATACTGTCAGAAAATCCCATTATTTGAGTACTATTTACCTGGGTGAAATCCACTTTAGACTACTATCTCTCTCAAAATTTTAGACTAAGAAACTTTCATGCTACCAAAAATAGTAGGGTCTAAAATATTATAAAGATTTACATTTGCCATTGTTTGATATTTTCAGAGATCCTCTTTTATTTTACATAACAACTTGTTGTTAAGGTGTGATTGGTGTCCGGTTACTTCAAGTTACCGAACTAGATCACGTTGCCGATGCAGTCAGAATCGCCACACAGAGCATTCTTCACTTAGTTCGTACTGATTATGATGCGATGAAACATCTTAACTCAGTTAAAGCATGTAGTGATAATCCTTCAGAAATTCAATCAAAATCAAAGCTACCTGGTAAATCGACTTATATGTGGAAGGATTACGCAACCAAACTCTTCCGGTGAGTTAAGCTGGTAAGACAGTATTACCAGATTTCTCACTATGCGATTTCAAATCTTTAAAGTGTAAAACAAAGGATTGCTTTTTGTTTTATAAACATTTTCATTGGACACCAAAATATACTTAACTGGGATACTTCCAGTGCTCAATTTTACATAAGTTTTCAACCCAATTGTATTTTTTCGTTTGATTATCACAAATTATTTATTAATATTGTATTTCCTATGTTTACAGTTTAGTTTTAAACAACATTGATAAACAACTTAAAATAAATGATTGGATGTGATACCCACTCAACAGGCTAGTCTGTTTTGCTTGATAATTTAAATAATTAGAAGCAAGTTTTTAAATTATCGATAGAGCTTTCAACTACTGAATGCAAAGATCACATCGAGATGTAATCTCCATCTCAATAAAATTAGATTCAATGATCAATTAACATTCCATCGACAATAAACTGGAAATGCCATCTGTCATCTTTAATCTATAGTGAAAACTTTATTTTGTTAATAATATTCATTAGATTTGTTGGTAATTTTTATTACATACTGATTTTAATATGAAAAATATTGAAACATTGGTATATGAAACTGCCTTTAGATTCTAGGAACACCTCGTCAAACAAATCAGCCTTCATCTACGAATAAAAAATTGATAAATTCATAAAATATTATTGATTCGAATAATATGTTTTTCTGAATAACTAAATAAAGGCTCAATCAATGTCTTTACAAAGATAAGAAGACTATCAAACGTTCGTCCGCCATATTTGGAATGAAACAGATTCACAGTAGGACAGAAAGGTTATAAGGTTTGTGGATATTACCTATTTTGAGAATGTTGGTGAGTTATTACTGAACATAAGGTGCCTTCTATGTCTGACCTCTCACGCTGTAGATATGAAGTGTGGTAGCTATGTAGGTTGGTAACATGTTTTTTGTTTGTTTACCAATGAAAAAAAGAATAAACCTTCACTAAATTATTTAGGTTAGAAAAAATTGCTAAAGAACTATTGTGGTGAATGACGTTACTTTTCACTTGCATTATTTGTTCCTACTCGGTCAGTCATATACAATGTATAAGCTTTAATATTTGTGTACTAGTTCAAGTTGCGATACCAAATCAGCCACGCAAGATGAAATTACCAGGACAAATGCCAAAAAAGAAGTAGTAGAAAAGGTCAGATATAGATGGTTAGTTTGAGAAGAACGAATTCATGGCGTGAAAAAGACATGTAAGATAATTTGAACCCGAAGATCTAAGGGAAGTTAATGAATGAATGTATCACCGTAGATCACGTGGAGATTTTTAAACGTTTTTGTATTTCACTTTCAGAGACATGTTAGCAATGAATTTAACTGATGGTCGAACTGGTCATTTGGAATTGATGAATATGGTGATCGTATTAAACCAATTTATGATATTGTAAATGCTCAAATAACTAATCAGGACATAAATAATTTATCTGCACAAAAATCATTTGAGTTTGAACGGCCAACATTAGTTTCTGTTGGAAGTTACGGTTTACATCAAGTATATATGCATATTTATATGATGAGCGATTCGTTTCAGTTTACATCTGTGTTATTTTTAAAAAACTTTTCCTATTTACAAGTTGATTGTTATATTTAAGCCGTTCGTTATCAACCTACTATGACATATCTTATTTTACAAACAGATGAAAAGTATGTTGTAGGTGTTGTGGTCTTTGAGTGGAATGGTTTAATTGTGAAGCTTTGATTGCTCTTCTGCACAACGTATTTCCCTTTCAAGCACGTACTGATGATACTGATCAGAAGGACAATGGAAGCTTCCCATTTAAATTGTTTAGCTCAGAGACCGGGAAACGTCCAACATCCTCATCCTGAGCTAAAAACGCTCTTCATTACCTCAGATCAAAGGTGATTTTCGTAAAAAAGAACTTATTCTGAATAACATTTAGAAACTAGGTTGTATTTAATAGCTGTTTCATCGTAGTTTTTACTCCAATGACGAATATTTTGAATATTTTGAAAAAAAATAGTCTGCACAGAACTGTCTGGAGGTTTAAATTTTTGTCTCACAGTAATTATTTAACAAGAATAAATGAAGAAACGTAAGTCCCTTTGTATGTCTTTGTCTAGTCGACAGGTTCAAGATCAAAATTGCGAACGTGACGGGAGTTTATCCTCATCCGTGTTTCTTCGTATGACATTCAGAAGGAAAATGTAAGGCAGTCTCTGATTCCGTATTTAAGTATCTCGCCGACTCCAGTCACACTTGTCCCCACTGCTCAGAAATATCCTTGAAAACTATATACGCGGTCAAATGACTGAGTTGAAAGGCAGTGAAAACCACTACCTTTTATATGACAGTAGCGTTAACAATCCAACCTCTCTAACCTGAACTCAGAGAGCAAGATCTAATTTCACTATGAACCTGAAACTTGGTTTTTCATACACCGAAAACTAACTGTTTATACTTTATTTTGACGTTTTTAAATTTTAATTATTTGTTATTTATATTTTCACGTCTTGTTTTCGTCCTCACCTTTATCATATACTCGATTTCATCTCATAATTTTCCTTCAGTTTCCTGGTTGTTACTCAATCCATTTTGACGCTTAAAATTCCGGTACACTTTTCTATATACTTTTAGTTCTGTTTTGTGGAGAACTAAAATACATTTTAAATAATTATATATACTACTGAACCGATTAAATTGAGTAAATTATTGAAAAAAATCCTCTTCCCTGAAATACTTTTAATTTTTCTGCAATTACAACACGGGTTTCATTTGTTCTTTAATATCGAATTGTTCAAATGAAGAAAGAAATATTAATCAGTAAAATAAACTTATTTGTTGATTGTTTCTAAGAAGTTAAAAATGGTTATTGGTAGTTGATAAAAAATCTCATTAGAAAGACTATCAGACCACTAATATGACTCATAATATATCTTAGAGTAAACCATTGCTCCTATTTTCTTTGACCAGTCAATATAGATAGCTTCTTATTCATCTCTCCAAGAATACCAGTTAATTCAGAAGTCATTTATTAAATAAAGTCCCATTTGAATTGCTTGATGATCAATTGGCTTTTTTTTCTATATATAAAAAATTGTTACAATTCAAAGTAGCGAAACGGTTTCCCTATTCACTATTCATACTACAAAACATATGATCATCAGAATTACATGTTGGCCTAACCTCAGTTATGTTCCATCAAAAGCCTCACGAGATGTCACTGTCTAGAAACTCATATCCTTGATCTATTATTACCAGAGTATAACATTTCCTTCTGTTTTGAATTGAAGAATTAAGTCAGCAATGAATAAGTCATAAGCCATATTGAGTTTTTTAAAATCAAAAATGACTTTATGTCATTATTTAAAATTTCCTTATCTTCAATCTTTAATTGAAAGCCAACCCCTATGGAATGGTTATCTGATGAACCTCATCCTTCTCTGTTGTCAATCAATTTAAGTAAATTAATTTGGCCAGGTAATAGTATTGTAAAACGTCAACAATTGGTATGTATACAGCGTGCTAATGATGGAAAATGTCAAAAAACTGAAAAACGACTGGTACATGCAGCACCGATTAGTTTTAAAAAGAAAACACATTTAAAAGTATGTATTATGTTCCAAATCTCACAAATATTTTGATTATTATCGAAAGTTTTTTTGTAAAGTTGATTGTACTAATATTTACATATATTTGTTTAGTTAACTGGTTAGCATACTTTTTGTAATGTATCACATTAAGTGTTCCTTTCAGTCCTCATATAAGTGATCATTTTGTAAAGAATTTTGAATGAATTCGATATCAACCTGACGTATGAAATGTTTATATTCCCACCAAAACTATGAAATTTTTAATCGGATATTCTCACTTTATTTCAGATCACGATGGAAGCAATACCAACAACTAAACTCGCCACATTTAGCATATATATCATAGTTCCCTATATTTGCTTGTTGAGCATGATTAATTTATTGTAATTGTGGAGTACTACTGGTACTTAGTCAATGAAGTTCTATGACTCTCAACCTGACAGACAGTCTTGTGAATGAAAAACCATTGGTTAGTAATTTAAAGTAACATGAAGTACAATTCTTTCTGGGAATTTCAGAAGTATCATTATAGAGGATTTTGCCTTAAATTATTCATTTTGCGGGAATTCTATCGATCTTCTGTCTCAGAATTTTCCTATCCGTCACGTCAATGGTATTTTTATGTTTAATCATAACATTAATAGTAATCGGAGACTGATGAAATTTAGACTTTTACTTCGGTTTGGGCACCTGGGCATTATCCCGGCCCTCACACATATCAAATGAGATTTGTGTGGCGCATATGTATTTGGTGCCTCCTTGTACCAATATCTATGTGTTAAAATAAATAAATAAATAAACTTTCACTAACAAGATCAGTATAATCAACATATTTTGCATTTATTTATTTATTTTATATTAGTAGTTCTAATGGAAATCGATTATATTCATTTATTTGCGTTTCCTGGTAGATAGATACTATCTTAAAATTTTCGGCAAGAATATCTTGTCTATTATGGTTAGTCAATTTAGGAGTTTCTAGTTACATATCCGAATTTGACACTGGAGAGATTTGGTGCCATTTTAAAAGTTACTGTAAATAATATAAATGATACATTTTTGTATTAGTTGTTTGAGTCTTCCCATTGATGTTTAGGACTGCATCTGATGTATTGACTCTATTGAATAAATGAAAATGTCACACGCACTCAATAGTAATTCTTATCCCTGTTGTTACTTTGGCCTTAAACCATTATTATTATCATTACCTATTATTATTATTATTATTATTATAGTTCGTATTTGGAAGTATACCCCCTCTCTCTCTTTAATTGTGTCTCATATCCTGATAATTCTAGTTATATTTGTTTCTGTTATCACTACATTTGATTTAACCCTTCTATTACCTTTGATTATTGTAACTAAAATATTTTAATCACCTTACTTCAGTCACATTATAATCCGTTGCTAGCGTATTAATTTTACCAGGCTCTTTTTATTTTCATAGACACAATGTTTTATTGTTATTATTCACATTGTGTAATCCCGTATTACAATCTTTCTCTTACATCGTGTTTATTCCTTGTTGATATGTCCTCACGGAACTAATAATTTAATAAAATTTATATATATATATATATATATATATATATATATATATATAATCGTTTAAAAGAGAAAGCTTCTCTAAACCTCGTGTTTTTAATGTTTGAATGGAAATTAAATGTCAAATGTGGCATTGAATGAGAAACGATTGGAAACTGTGAGTTAATTTTGATAAGTTTCAAAACCACATAATTAAAAAATTAGATATATCAGTAAGGGAGTTTTTGTATTGTAGTATTTTGAACAGTTGGATTCACGAGTCGATCTAAGCTAGAACACCACTGAAAACTGTTCGATATCGACTCGGTGGTCTAGAAGTTAAGTGTTCACCCGCGAGACCGAAGGCCCTGGGTCCGAATCCCGGCATGCGGGAGCGTAGACGCACATTACTGAGGCGTCCCATACTAGAACGAAACGACCATCCAGTGCTTCCAGGTTTCCAATGGCGATCTGGCTTAGATCAACTCGTGAATTAGCTAGATGTTTACAAATTAATGGACACAAAAATATCATATCGATTTAAACTAACTTTACGAAATATAGTGAGATGAAAATAAAGCAATTTAGTTAATTGTACAATAGAAGAGTATATAACCATAATAATCAAAGTAAATGTGTAAAATGTTTTTCTCCTTTGAATATTGATCACATGATCAAGCTAATTTTATGGTAAAGTTTTTCTGAAAATAAAACGGGAAAACAGAATATTAATTTTAACAGTGGTTGAAGCCATGGCCACTGGAGTCCAATCCTTGTCGGGTAGAGACATGTATCTACCTCAGACAATAAATGAATGGTTGTGCAAGATCATGGATTGATTGAAGTTAGACATTAACGCCGTTTGATGCCAGCTCAGGGGTCTTGAGGTTGAGTGTTCTCATGAGAGACTGAAGGTCATAGGTTCGTATATGCGCACTGCTGAAAAGTCCCATACTAGGACGAAACAGTCGTCCAGTTTTCCCAGATTTTCAATGACGGTCTAGCCTGGATTAACTCATGATTTCAGCTATTAAAAATTCTTGAGAAATAAAAATAAGCAAACATCGAATTTAGAATCAAATGTTTATTATTATTAATGATTGTCTTTATCACATTTTACGATAAATAAGCTTTTTATGGTAGGAATATTGTTTCATCAATTATAGTATTTAGTGAAAACAAATAAAATTTTAATATGATTTGGTATTTTTAACTTGTACGACATGTCTTATCTAATGTAACATCATTTATTCTTCTAAAAAAGAACACACGAGTAACTGTGAAACATAATTCGATTAATTCATTTTTGTATTGGATTTTTGAATCCGATTTATTCAGTTATTCGCTCAGTTGAAAATGTTCATATATGTGTAACATTGATTGATAGGTTTAATGTATTTGGGTTTCGGTAAAGTGAGATCCAGGACATGCTTTATGTTCTGTTTGGAACTCATCAGTCGATTGTATCCGCATCGCACTGTTGGTGTTTACACGAAGAATTGAGACCAACAATTCCAAATGCCAACTGCCTATCAACTGCGTCAAGATTGACAGTAATATCCACAATTCAAATATAAAAAAACTTGGGTCTGCAAGGTTATATTGAGGCAATATGATCAGTTCGCTATGTATTCTGACACAAATGGATCAGTTCCAATGATTAATATTACCGAAGAGAAAACACTACTTCTTAAGTATACTAGGTGACGCATGTTTTAATCCAGATGAGAACATTAGTTCATTATTAATCTCAGAATGAACTTGCTAACAACAGTGATTTAGCAACAAATCTAGATTCAAGTTATCGTTCCATACAAGAGTGTTATAATCAAACGAGTAAAAACTACGATCTAAATATACTCAACCATTGCGTAAAATGTGTTTCAGTCTTTGCGGTTGTTTAGTGTTTAATTTTGACATTTTGATAATGCAAATAATTTAATTTGACTAAAGCGTTGTTCGAAATGATTTTCCAAGGTAACCGTGACAATTGTGATAAGGTTATAAATAGTATTTCCGTAATGAAGATGTGTATTATTGATTACTTTAAAGTACAATATCTCTTCTATTAAAATTAATTTGTTTAATTCTTTTTTCTCTAGGTTGTAACTATTGAAAGTATACCATTCGTACAAACTCGTCCAAAATTAACTGATAAGTGTAATGAATCTGATGATCCCTTAGTTTTTAAAACTGAAATTGAATGTACTCATACTGACCCGACTACTGGTATGTCAGTTGCTTTTATTTCAAAGATAAAGACCTGTTTATTATTCCTATATACATTTTTGAACAATCATTTAGAATAGATATGTTGAAAATTGTTGTGTTATTGCTTAATTTTCTCATTTTCAGTAAATAAGTGACTGACATTTCATTTTTAACTGTTATGAATACATTTATTTACCTTGGTAGTTCTAAACAAAAGAAGGATGACAAAACTTACAGAATAAAATTAATTAATCACTTTTACCTGAACGTTTTTCATCGTCTACAGACAGATTATAAATAGTTTACACATACTTTAATTAGCGACAATGACATGAATGTTCATAGAGGAGCTGGAAATCAAGATATTTGAAGAAAGGCATGAACAGCGATATTTAATAGGTACTTAATGTAACTGATGATCCGCTGAGTAGTGACGAATGTCGTTGTGTCTAGTCTTTCAATACTGATCGAATTCTATCGATGAAGTTGTGGTGTAATTAATGGTCTTGGTTACACGGTGATCAAAGGTAGTTAGCGGAGAACCTGGACCCAGATTTGGTGTTAGTTTGGACTCATCAACAAGGCATTTCTGTAATCACGAAGAGACCTGGTGCTCCCTGGTATGTTTGAACTCATGTCAGCCAATTTCACGACTTGAAACGTTACCACTAATGTATTTGTGTCACTAATAATACTAATTACTGGATAATGAAGACTGTTATTGAAGTCACTGTCATTGAGCAATACTGATGTGACCTATTCATACAGAAGGAAAGCATGATAAACTATACTTAAAACCATTAGTGATAATCGTCTTAAAATGATAACTCTTATTGTTGAATTCTAATTTTGTTAGTCTATTAGACTTTACTTGGTAATTTGGTTTAATAATAACGCTTCCTTGAAATCATGAACCGATCTAAGTTAGACTACCACTGTAAAACCTGAAGGCACTGGACGGTTCTTTCTTCTTAATACAGAATTATTCAGCATTTCGCACCCATAGCCCTGTATGCTGGAGTTGAACTCAGGACTTCCGTTCTCGCGCTCTGATTCTTAATCTCTAGACCATTGAGCCGGCATTCAGAGGTGTTCATTTCTAGCTTAAATCAATCTACGACATTACATGACAATCTTCTAAACTGACAATAATCATGTTATTTGATTGTGTAGTTGCTCATTTTTATTTTAGTTATTATACTTAATTATGAAGTTTAATCTTCTGGTTCATGTGACTAAATTTTCAATGTTTACTCGTTAAAAGTAAGTTTGCGTAATTTCCTGTTTTTGGTGCTAAATACAGCAACTGATCAGTCTGTGCTACTATACGTGTATCATGAGCGGGTTGCCTCGATATAACCTCACATGCACATTGAATAAACATGTGGCTATTTGTAGCTCAGTGGATAATGCATTCATTATTTAGTATCTCTGATCATTTGCGCTCTCAAATGCTCGAAAATATCCATCTGATTGTATTTTCCATTCATCCAAAATTCTGTTGACAATGACAAACTGGTTTATAAACTGAGTATCATAGGAAAAGGCAAAATAAATGACGTAGAGAGGAAGAACGTTGATATCTGAAATGCTAGTGGCATGGAAAACCGTTTTTTTTTAAAAAAAATCGATTATGACGTGTAATCATATCTTAGGAAGAAGTAATAATCTAACTTAGTAAATGAGTTGAATCTGTTGATTACAAGCGATTAATTTATTGATATTGTAAGTGGGTCTAAACACTGTGCTATTAATTAATATCAAGTACTACTCAGTTCAACTTAAGCAGATCTAACTGTTAATCTGGCTGCAAAGAAGTCATTACAAAAATCAGTTTGTTGGGATACCATTTTGATGTATTTCTAGTGTTAACTAATCCTTCATTAATCGTCTTTGTGCCATCCGATACATGGTTTCCCTGTTGAAGTACTAAGGTTTTCATAGTTACAGCTCTAGATTTTTTCATTTCAATTACCTTGTGCTAATACGTTCATATGATGATGTACAGCTATAAGGAATCAGTAAAAAAATACAAGTCTATAGTAAGCCGATAAATATTCTGGAAGTAATAAGACTAGTTAAAACAGCATGAGTTAATATTTTAAGTGATCTATGCATTCTTGTTTGTGTGATTATGCAGGTTTGAATCATTAATTTATGGTGAAATTATACTCTTTTACCTCATTTCTCTAAGGAAATTAGTCAATAGCCACTTTGCTTTTCCATTTACGTTTTCATTGTCACTAAGAATTTGAACTCTTGTTCAGTTCATTAAATAATCAATTTACATTGTCAATCTGATCCATTCAGTTCCTTGAAACCTAATCATAATCTCTTATCTAATGCGCTTGTGACCAAAGTATCATTTTTTTAAATTCTCCTGAACTGCATAAATGGTGTTTAATCAATCAGCACATTTCACAGCATCATTAACATTCTTTATTGATACCATTTACTAAATAACTTAGTTTCGAATAGAGCTAATTCTTGAAGTGAGGTTGAGACTAAACCTGTTACATAATTGTACGTCAGTGTCTGGTTGATAATCCAATTTCCATAGTTATAGAACTTCGAATACAGAGATAAAACTTGTCACTTATAACTAACTAATGAAGTTCGATAATTTGGATATTCTTAATTTCATTTTACTGTTTTTTCAACCTACATTTAATTTCTAGAATGTTTAATTTAAAAAATGATTTATTTTATACACAGTCATTTTTTGTCAAATATTTTTATGTGTTCATGTTTTTTTCTTTTTATTCATCAATTTATCTTGAAGGCGTCAAGAAACATTATTGCTGTTATGGTTATTGTATTGATCTTCTCCGATTATTGGCTAATAGGACTGGACTAGAATTAACTTCTACACCATTCACATATGATTTACATTTAGTCGGTGATGGACAAATAGGTGATGTTGATGAAAATGAAACACATAAATGGACTGGTATTATTGGTGAAATTTTGTCTGGTACAGCTGACCTAGCTGTTGCACCAGTCTCTATTACACCAGAAAGAGCTGCACGAGTTGAATTCACTAAGCCATTCAAATATTTGGGAATAACTATTCTAGTGAAACGAGTAAGTTTTGATCTGTTATTTGGATATTAAGTGTAGAGTTTTGTAAGGATTTTGAATTTTACAGTCTCCAACACAAACTGATCTCAGTTAGGCAACAATTGGAAACCAGAAGTTATTGAATGGCCATTTCGTCCTAATGTAGGACTCCATATTAGTATGCTTTTACGAACTTATCACGGTCCGGATTCAGAATCGTTAGACATTTCGGCAAGCTGCTGGTCTTTATATCGCTGAGTCAGCATTAACTGGTTTATACTTCTAATCCCAGTCAGTTCGCACTATTGGTTGATTTAATTTCAAATTAGTGTCGAATTTTCACTGTTTTAATTACTTCAACTGTCAAAGTAGTCGATAAGGCAAAAAACAGATCATCGCTAACTGCTCATAAAACGAAATAAAATTAATGTCACAAGTTTCAGCGTCAAACTGAACTATAGAATACTCCAAATTATATGACAGATATATATTAGTATAGGGTTGTGGAGAATGTTGAGTTTCACTAAAATCACGAACCAATCAGTGTTAGACCACCATGAAAACATAGAAGCTCTGGACGGCCGTTTTGTTTTAGTATGGAACTCCCTAGCAGTGTGCATCCATAACAAATGATCTGCTAAAGTTAGGGTCAAGGGTGATTTCAGAACTTCTAGTTTCCACCTAACGTAATAAGATACTACATTCGTTTAAAGCATTTTACAATGCAATATATAATATACACTTTGGTGTGCTTTATTTTTCTCATAGGAACGTGCTCGATCCAATCTTGGTTCATTCCTTCAACCTTTTGAAAGTTCACTATGGGTTCTTGTAGCCTTGTCTGTACATGTTGTCGCTTTTGTGTTATATTTGCTCGATCACTTTTCACCATTTAGTCGAACAAACTCTGATCTTGATATGTCTGTCGATGGAAGTGGCAGTCATTCGACTTTACGCCAGTTTGATAATGAAAAACAAACTAATGACAAAAATACACTAACTCTAACTCACCTGCGACAACAACAACAAAAAGAAGACGAAGAAGGTATGAATTTAAGTAGTGCAGTTTACTTTGCTTGGGCTGTATTATTAAATTCTGGGATCGGTGAAGGTACTCCACATTCATTTAGTGCTCGTGTTCTTGGAATGGTATGGGCTGGATTCGCTATGATAATAGTAGCTAGTTATACAGCCAATTTAGCTGCATTTCTTGTTTTGGATAGACCTGAAGCGTCTATTTCTGGAATTGATGACGTTCGAGTGAGTTACTGTTGTGAAGTTGCTCTTGATAATGTAAAAATACATTTTATTTGTTTTTTGACTTGTATAAATGAGATTTAACGTATTTGGCATTTAAATAAATCTGTCCCAGGATATATTAGCTACTTCGTTTTTTGACGGTTTACAACTCCGAAGTTTTTCTCTACTTTTTTCACAATTTTGATGATTTTACCATTGAAATATAAACTACTTTCAGTAAAATTCAGCGTCGAATACAGTTGAAGTATACTTGAAACACTGATACACTGAACCTTAATAGCCTTATTATCCAGACCCAACCAGGCCTAGTCATATATTATCATTATTTTAGAAAATTCACTCGATAACCTTATTTAACAATACCTGAAATCTACCTAAAACAAAGAACTCTTTATTCTTTAAATCTTTGTAAGTTTCGATTCCTTTATAAATATTTTTATATTTAATTCAGTCTTAATTGTAATAATAAAATATTTAGACTTTTTGATAATAAGCTACATGATAAGATGTATGGGAATGAAGATGATTGTTTGGATTTTAAAACGGTCTATCCGTCAAGTATTTATACAAAGTTGTTAGAGATATACAAGTATGCCTCTTAATTCATTTCAATACCTGTAGAAAATTTCAAAACATTTGATAATCATAACAACTCATATTCCGAAAACATCTTGTTTGATATTTAATAGGATTGTTAAACTTACATTGTTCAGTTGTTATTATTTTTGAAAACTTGTCTTGATTATACATCATCCAGTTATCAATGTACAGTAACGTAAAAATTAGCAATTAAATGAAGAAACTATATAATAAAACATAAAAGCTATCTTCAACATGAACTTAGACTTCATTTTCATGGATAACATCAGCTTGTGTAAGAGACAACTGGAAAAAGTGGTTTGAGAGCATCAAGAGGAATAGATTGTGCAAACAAAGTGAAGCATACATCTATATAGTTAACCGTGATTAAAGTGTTCAAGTGAAAATAGTGGACTCTAGCTTGACGAAATCGTGGATGCTAACTGCTAAGTTGTCCCTTACTAGAACAAGGCAGCTGCCTAGTGCTCCTTTGGTTTTCAATGATTATCTAACTTAAACAAGTTTAGAATAAACATTATAAGCAGCTAATTAGTTTTAAACATAATTTTTTTAATTTTTATGATAAGTGTACTTAGGAAATAACTGCAAAAGGAAATAGTTAAGCTGGAGTATTTCTAGTTTATTTATATCAATTAGGATGTTTGTATGACTTTAAATCGTAAACATGTCATTCCGTTTTTTTTTTGTTTAATCGTTATAATTCATACTGTAGGATAAGTTTCTGATGATCAATCTGTATACACGCTATCTGGATTTCTACGCTAAATACATTATACTTCTACTAAAATTTTATGGTCTAAATAAAAATATAAAGTTTTCATTAGAATAATAATACACTTAGTTATCTTTTTGTTTAACTGAGCATATTATTATCACGGATCGATTGAATCCTTGGAAAAAAAATTAAAGTTTATCATTTGCAGCAATGAGTGCTGGTAGAGTAATCCCTTCTTCTTAAAAGTATTGTATTTTCTGAGCTGGATTGTCTGGTCATGAAGCTTTTGTTACCTTCTTTTTTCCAGACATTATTAGGATATACTTCAATGTACATATAACCGTCACAAAAATATATACAACGATTAGCTAAATTACCATTATTAATGGTTTTAATTAATATTATATATATATATATATATATATATATATATATATATATATATATATATATATATATATATATATATTCTCCTACAATATCCAATCACTTGCTAGATACACACATTCATGAAATAAGTAAATATACTATTTCAAATTATATAAAATATTTCTAAGGGGAAAAAAGTCTATGCAACTTTTAATTGCCAACATGTTTATGCATAAACGTTTTTGACTAGATCACATCTTCAATCAATTCGTCATATAGTATATTCACTAGGTACGTTATTTTAGAGTTCTTTTACCTTTACTTAAGTGCATGGATCCTAATATCCAGGCGTCTTGTCCTACCAATAGAAATACAAAGGAGTAAGATCTGAATAAAGTAGATGATTGGTATCTCATAAGACAACAGTTACTAGGAGTTTACAAGATTTTAAACTTCTATCCACAACCATATTCATAGCGACTTCAAAAGTGTCTCCACATACCTTACTAACTGCCTTCAGGCCTCTTTGCAATAATAGCGAAATCTCTTCTCAAAAGCCTGGGAAAGAATAATTAAGATAGTCAATAATGATAGGTAATATGCAAGAACTTACAAATCGTAGGTATCGAGTAATGCTAAAAGCATATAGCCTCTGTATAGTAAAGCAACCGAAAAACTTTCTTCGATGTCAATAAAACTTGAGAAGACAAAGAGAGACCAGAGGATAAATTTACACCAATATAAATTACTTTTGACACTATTTTTATTACAAAATCTCCGATAGTACAAACTTTATGGGATTCCAACTGGATGTTTATGTGCTGTTCATGACTCAGGCTAAAATTAATAGTTTGACATCTAGGATTATGTGTGAGATCATTAACAACAGACCATGGTTCAATGAGAGACAAGAACTCATTCATTTCAAAAGGATTTTACGAATGAAAAACTGGTATATCTACTTAACAAAATGCTGATTCAGCAAAACAAATTATTGGTCAGCCATGCAGAAATTCTAATAGCTCTATTCCTTTTGAAGTATGTAATCATGATGTTGTCTAGAAAGACAATGAAAACTTCACAGTTAAGCCATTCAGTTCAGAAAATATAACACTTCAAATCTTTCATCTTCAGATACATATATTCTGTGTTGTATAAAAAAAGCTAATTCCAAGTAACGTTTTCTGTGACTCACTTTTAATTAATTGCATTATTCCATATTTAATTTGTCCTTGCTATGTTATAAATTCAATCGTATCACAAATATAAAACACTTAAAGTTATTCTCTTGTATATATACATTTATTCGTATCTTGTTTTCAATTTGTGAATGTACTCACACAAAAATCCTAAACCTTATACCAAATGATATATTCATCTTTGATATGAAAATGTTCATTACCGTAAATTTTAGTGGCTACTTAAATGATTTAGAAATTTGAATTTTAAGTGATTTTCCTTATTTTTTTTTATTCATGTTCTGAATGTTGGTTCAGTTTTACGAGTCATATTATTATCGTTTATTGATATAAATAGTACTAGGGTAATCTACTTGAAGAACACTGGTGAGTTATTCGACTTTTAGGTTAACTTTGATGAACTATGGTATAACTTATAAGCTCATGAGAACATTGAACAATAAGATATTAGTAATTCAATTTATTGACTTGTTTTTTTTTAGCTTCGCAATCCTCAAAAAGATTTTCTATTTGCAACGATTCGTGGTAGTCCTGTAGAAATGTATTTTAAACGACAAGTTGAATTCGCTACAATGTATCGTGTAATGGAAACAAATAATTATGATTCAGTAGAAGAAGCAATTCAAGTAAGTAGAATCAAATTAATTTTCACATGTAAAATGTTTATTTAAAAAAACTTTATAACACAAATATCAGAGTATTCTTTGCATAAGATAACAACATTGAAGCATGTAGATTCTAGACAACTAACTGTTTCTAGATGTAGAAAGACGAGATGTACTTTGAGCTAGTAAACTCATATGCATTAAGCTAAGACAATTTCTTGTAAAAAAGAAAACGGTATCAAATTTATAAGCTAAAATAATATTGTAAATATAATTAAGTGAACTGGACCTGATTCTACTGACATTTGTACCAATTTGTACATTTGTACCAATATTTATTTCATACTTCAAAAGATATCTCTCACAAATGAGGTATTAAGAAAACAAAAGTGGTGTGTGGTCAGTTGATTGATCACTGAGTTGGTAATGTTACGTTTGTCTAGTCCTTTCGTGTTGATCAAATTCTATAGATCAGGTTGCAATTCAGTCACTAGTCTAAGTGAGTAGACATTGTGTAAAATATGTTTCAATGTTTCTTGGTTGGACGTTGTCTTCAGCAAACCCTGTTTGACTTAGATTTCATGCTATATGGCACTTATCAACATGGTGTACAATCTTGAGGGAATTGACGCTCCCTTTGGTAGTCGAACCCGTATTATAAGTTGGTTTTACAAATAGACTTTTTATAATTGGGTACGCGCGCCTGACGTTTCGATACCTCTCTCCAACAAAATACATCAAAGTGTTTGTTTATGTGTTAATATTGTCACTGTAATTTTTTTAACTCTTTCCTATGTAAGGCCATTAAATCCGGCTCACTTAAAGCTTTCATATGGGATTCAGCAAGATTAAATTATGAAGTTTCCATTGATTGTGAATTGATTACTGCTGGTGAGGTGTTTGGTCGTAATAGTTATGGCTTAGTAATGAAAAAAAATAATCCCTGGTTATACGAATTGTCACAAGCAGTGTTAAATTTTCATGAAAGTAAGTTGTTTATTCTATCAGCACTTTGGAAGAGAAGTTTTAATTTTACTGATTAGTAACAGTCAATATTAGATTTATATTGTAATGAACATAAGTACAATATAACGAATCAACATAAGTTAAGAAAACACAGAAACTAGCAGTTCATGCCATTTTCAACAGCCACCAAATCGATTTTAAAAATATCAAAATATTGCAAAAAGGCTTTTCCAACTACAAAGAAAGGAGGGTAGCTGAGGCGTTCCATATAATGCTTAATCCTACTTCTCTCAATAGAAAGGAAGGTCTTACCATACATCCTACTTGGACCATCTATCCTAGCCATTCAGTCTGATCGTATTTACAATTTCACACTATCATATTACAAATTTAAACTCTATCCTTTCTTACCATAAAGGTCACAGAAGTTTTCATTCTTAAACAATGCACATATACATACACACAAATTTACATACAGATCACTTATGAATCACCTTGACAGAAATGACATGACATCAACTTGTTCAGACCTGTTTTTTGATTGATCAAATATTATTCTTGCATTGTTCCATTGTACTATTTAACCTTGGATTAATTTTAATTTGGTTATTTATTCTCTGAAGAAGTGACTTACACTAAGTCACGAAACGTCAGAAAATCCAATTTTCTACTCATTAGAATATTACAAATATATTATTTTTATTTGCAGTGTATTTGTTAGCTTCTGGGTCTTGGTCAATGTTTACTCAAAATGGATTTACTTGGCATTAAATTAGCAATATTTTTCAGATAATAAACGAATCTAATCGCCATCTATAAACACTGTTATTAACAATGAAGCCTGCTTTTAATCAGTCTCTAACGATACATTAGCTTCACGAGCTAATGTCTTGATTGTACGTTTAGCAAGAAGCTAACTATATTTTTGACAGTGTTTACTGATGAATTAAAAATTACGTGATTTAATACAAATCCTTAAAAATAGTAACAAATGTTTTATCCCAGGCTATAAGTTTTGTTTTATTTGACACTCATCCGTAAAGCGTACCTGTAACCTTGACGAATTTTATGGTTCACGTGAAATTCAGATACAATCTACTAAACTTCATATTATAAGATATTCCTACTGAGCTATCCGACCAGCTTCTGACCTCGGTTTAGAACTGATCTATGTACACTTGAATAATCGATATCATATTTATTAAATCGTTTAGTTACTCAATGGAATTCTATCGGTAGTGAATGACTTGAAAAACATGACACATCACAAATCAGTGGTCATACATATTTGCACTTAGGTAATGAGTTTTAAACGAAATGAAACGCATGCTTTTTGATTTTCAAGTACAATCATGTAACCACGAATCAGTTCGAAAATAAAAATTAATGTTGAATTAGAATATCAATGTACAGCTGATATTCTTTCCGAATTAAAAGTTTCCTTAGGCCTCTTGCTCGAATTATAAGCATAAATCGAATGTCAGGATTTATTACCATAATGTGCTGCTTAAAGAGATAGCTAACAAAAATTAGTCTGATGACTTAAATTTACTCACTTATTATAAGTTTGAATACAGATAATTTAAGTCTCCATTCCTTTGAGTTACATTTTAACTAATAATTGTACGGTTTATCATCAGCATCATAGTTGAGCAGCTTACTTTGATGTGAGAATAATATCCATTCAAGCAGACATTCCACAGAAACGTATGTAAACTCTTTGGAAAGTATCACGGAGTAATAATTGACAGAGTTAACTACCGATAGCTCTTCTGTTATCAAAGTAAAATCCATATACATTAAAAGTCAAACTGGCTTTTTCCAACTAGTCAATCATTTAAAATTTTTATTATTTACTTGTTTTAAAACTAGTCAACGATTGGATTTAATTCAGGTCCTCACAGTTAACTAGACATGAAAGTTTAAGCATCACATACATCAGTAAAATAGAATGAGATATTTTATATGTTTATGGATGGTAGTTATTTTGATGTCTTTTATCAATGTTGTGTTCTTCGAGGTGTATAATCCAACCAGGAAGCTTTCGTGAAATGATTTATACGAAATCAGTGCCCTAAAAGCATCCGCTTGGGCTTAAAATCTTCAGCGTTACTTTCGCATCTTTGTAACTCATAAAAACTGACCGAATTTTGTCTTTCTTATAACTATGTATTATTTCACGATTGATTGAGTTTAACACCAATATCTAGAACCCTTGCTACTGAACTTCAATTCAAATTCATGTTTATTTTAAACTATTATGTTTAAAACAAGAATTTGTCAGTATGAATTGAAAAAATTTTACGAAAAATTGCATACAGTTAGACTTATTATCAAATGCTGGGTGTAGTCATTAATATTATGTTAAGTTGATAATCATAAAATATTTCTCTTCAAAGAATTTGCTCAGATGATATCATCCAACATTTTTGAGCAAATAACGAGTGTCTAACGTTGATAACATCTTATAGTTATTATATTTCCGTTTTGAAAAGACAGTTGGATCACTTCTTGGTTTAGCAGATGCGTTAAACCGTATGAATGAGGACAGGTTAAGCTTGTACAGTCTTGAAAACTTATCGACTCTAAAAATGTAAACCATTGAATACCGACTCAGTGGTGTAAAATCAAATGTCAGTTGAGAGATATAAAAGGTCCGGAATTCAGTCCCTCGTGGGGTCGTAGATGAACACTACTACTAAGATAAAACAGCTATTAAGCTACTCTGAATTTCAATTGGTTGTCTGTCTACGGTCATGGCATAATGTTGAGCTACAAAAAGAAACATATTTTGTTTGAGATTCGTGTGCTCAGTATGAATTTGAATCTTGTTCTTCGACTTTCTCTTACCTTCTATTCGTGTTACATCCTAATTTCATTCTTTGATATTTTCTATGGTAGATTTGTTTTACCAGATTATATTTTTAGTTTTATATTGTAGTATCTTGTACCATGTCAGGCCCACATAGATTATCTAGCATCCGGACAAACCAGATTACTCGTTCTCCTTGAGTCACATTTTGACCTTTATATTACTCTCTTATTAACCTTGACTATTTTTATACAAGTGCATGTGTGTGCATTGCTTATCCCACCTATCACGTGTCTGTAGCTTATTTTTGTCTTACTGGAAGTATTGAATCACGGTTGATCAAATTGAGTCGGCTTACTCGCCTTTTGAGCTTTGCTTAGCGTTCCTACTTTTCATCCTGAAAGTCCATCCGGATCAATGAGTGCACGAAATATACGTATTCGAAATTTATTTTCGTATTTGACTTATTTTATTCCGTTATTCTCTAACGCGAATTAAGTGGATAGTCGTATACGAGGGTAGCCCGGATGTGTATTTCTTTAACATCATCATACAACTAAATTGGAGTCAGATTGAAGGGCTACAAAAATATAAAGAGAACAAATGAGTTGACTTGCTATAAATAAACAAGCAAATATTTTGAAAGTAAATGATTTTGAAAATCTATTTCAGTGGTACTTTCAGTAAAGAAAGTATTATATCGTCCATAAAAACTACAAAAAAATATTCCACATCTTTGACAGAACATTTTAATAGCACTTAATACTTGTAATCTGATCCGTTTCTTTTCTGGTGAAATCTAAAAAATGTTAACTAGGAGGTATAATGGAAACATTGGATACCAAATGGATACATATCAAATCCAATAACTGTGAACGAACTGAATCAAGTCCAGCAACTTTAGGTTTAACCAATATGGCTGGTGTATTTATCATGATTGGTATGGGGTTAGTAGCTGGGGCTATACTGACATTTGTTGAGGTATTGTGTACGAAACGTAAATGTGAACAAAAGAAAAAACATGAACTATCCACTTCAACAATACAACAATGGCGAGATGCTGTGCAGGTAAACTTTATTGTTATCGTTAAGTTTTCTTGAATATAATCACTAATTTTTGTTTGCATAATCAAGATAATAATGTTATTAATTACAATTTCTCTAGATAAAAACTTTTTTTTCAATGGACCTAGCTTTTCATTTAAACAAGACAAGAACAGTTATAATGACAGGAAAATCAACTAATAATTTCATTCCATTTTTATTGTCAGCTGCAACTTGAAACAGATTTACAGTGGGTAACAGCACTGAATATAATGAATCGGTGGAATTAATATATATAGAAAAATAATGCACAAGTTGCTTCAAATGAGAACAGAGATAGTGACATTCATTTAAAACCAAAGTTTGTTGTCGTTAAATTCACAGACCGATTTGAGTTGGAAAACCTTTAGAAAACTTGAAAGGACTATACGGCCGTTTCATCCTAATATATGACTCCTCATCAGTGAGCATCCACGACCCCGTAACCACTTAACCTCTAGACCGCTGAGTCAAGACCCACTGGTGTACAGGTTTAACTCCAATCAGCCAACAATATTGCGAGACAAACTTCCATCGTCTTCAATGGGCACCTCTCTCACAGACAACACTGTTAAACTCCACTGGTCACGGCTCCTCACTTAAAATCATGAAATTTCCTGTCGAAGTCAGTCACTAGTCATCTAGGGGTTGAGAATTCGCTCGCGAAAGCGAAGGTTTGAGGTTCATTTTTCGCTTACGGGTTGTATATGCTCACTGTCGAGGAGTTCCATACCAGGATGAGATGGACGTCCAGTGCTTACATGTTTTCAATGATGATCTAACATTGGTCAGTGTGTGATTTTAATGCAATTCAACAATCTTCACGATCTCAAATTTGTTTTGATTTATTACTTTCGTTGGTATCCTTCTTGTTCTCATTTTTTATCCCCATCCATAAGTTGTCATCTGTGTTTCCTTCCAAATTCACACATAGAAGCGTCAAAATGATGAAAGATATTTTCTGAACACTCTGGATAAACAAATGCAATTATGTCACAATACAGAAATATCCTTTGACGATGTCATTCACCACTCAGTTGCTGTTGATAAAAATAATTTAGACTCATCTGCTATTTATTGTACTAATATGAAAGATAAACAATCAAATAATCCCAAGCCTAATCTTTCAATGAATATGAAGGGAAAATATTCAGTTATAGAAGATGATTTATTGTCCACTAAAGGTCGAATAACTCGTAAGCGTAAAGCTAGTGATTATAGCTGTGATGATGATGATGATGGTGACAATGATGCGTTAGACAGTTCACTATCTTTTGATATGCAAACCTCAAAAAATAATTTGAAACAAATAGGCGAAAAGTATTGTGTTACTACTTATCGTTGCGATCAAGTTAACAATCATGAGAATAATGATAAAGTTGATCTGGAACAAGAGGAAAACCAGGTAGGACAGGAGGGTTATGAAGAAGAAGAAGAAGAAGAGTTTAGTGAACTTATTCAACGCTCTGGTACTTTTACTGCTAATGATAATATGAACAGTATCAATCATTACCAAAGATCAAATATTATTTCAGCTGTTTAACACTTTTCAGGACAAAATAGATACAATTATAAAAAACAATCAATTATTTGAATTCATGAATTATTCTTCGCATGAACTTATTATCATACCTTAAATAGAATTGTTGTTATTATTACATAATTAGGATTGCAATAACTCATTCTCTAGAGTTTCATGCGCATTAATCCATTTCAATGATCGTTCTACATTAAAACTTATCCCATGTTGTTCTGTTCTAATTTTGTGTTACTTTTAGAGTACACTCTTCAGATTATATATATATAAATATATAAACACATATTTAAAAATATTGTTTATCTGTGTTAACGTAGTTTATTTTGAACACTTTGAGTATATCTGTGTTTAATAATAATATAGAGTGTTTGCTTAGAAAGCCATATCGCCTATTGTCATTCCTTTTCCATTTGTCTCTCTATTGAAAAGCTATGCTTAGTTTTATTGGATATTTTAGAAGAAATATATATTCATGTATTGTTATTTGACATTTCAAATTCATAGACTTTTGATTTTTTTTTACTTTGCTTCTTCACTACTCATAAAGATTAATATGAGATGACAAAGTTTGATCTCGCCAATTTATATATCATTCTTTTCATTTTCTTAAAATAACTTAATTAACTTGCATCCCAATTCATTTAATGTTCTTTTCACTTAACTGTGTCGTATTGTTTTTATTGTTTAGTTTAATGACATAACATAAATTACTCCATGACAGCTGTTTATTTTGTCTGGACATCATCGTCTGTCTTTTGAAGGGAAGAAAAAAGTTCATCATTTTCAGTATGAAGGTTGAGGAGATTGTCGAATTTTATTTTAGATCACGAGTAAGGTACAGAGTCAAGAATATAGGAATTGGTAGCAAAATAGTGTGAATTGATTGAAGTTAGATATGTATACTGCTAAAATCCCACATCATTTGTCTAGAAGTGAAGCATTCAGTTGCAAGACAGGTCTTCGGTTCGATCCCAAATGGTGGCATAGCGAACTTTTACTGTAGAACGAAATAGCTATCCAGTGGTTTCAGGTTAACTATGGCTATTTAACCTAGGTCGGTTTGTAACCTCTATAAAGTTTTTTATTTGTTGGTGATTTGAAATTTGATTATTCTCATGCGTGTGTCTGTTTCAATTGATTTTAAATCGGTGGTATCAAATTGTACTAAACATTGATTATTAATTATCACTACAAGTTATTCTTTGCTCTGTGTTTTAATTTTAAATAAGTCACTTATATGTATAAACGGACTCATCTTTTAAGTAATATTAGACGATCATCGGTTACATAGCCTTCAATCGAATATGAAGCCACAATTATGAAATTGAATCGATAACACTTAAGTTTAATTTATACTACAACTTACAGTCAGTAATGATAAAATTAGAGTGAAAGTGTGATGTTTTACCAACGGTTTGTTGGAGGCTTTCAAATTCAGTTTTCAGTATTTCAGTCTTGAAACTATAAAAATCATGACTGCACATTGTTTTTGAACTAAAGAATAGTACTATAGAAATTTAATAGCACATCACAAAGTAACATCTCTAGTTATGCACACCATGACACGGGATCACATTCCATGGGAGTCGTTAGTTCTCTCATTATTTCGGTTGTCACGAAAATCAGATTAGTAGCTTCGTGTTGATTACTTGAAATAGTTACGCGTCTAACAGAAGTGTAATTATGTGATTTGCGCCACATTACTCCAATAACAGATAGATCAATACATCATGAAGCTAAATTTTTAACATTAATTCTGAATTTCTACATACAGTTCATAAATATACTTTACCTTCTCGTATAAAAGCAAAAATTTACCCTATTACTTGGAACTTCACTCCATTTTGATAATCATAAAGTGATGGATACCAATTTTTCCTGAAAGTCAAATGGTCAGTAAACATTAAATTGTCTTTAGTTGTTATCATGCGATATAGTGTTCGATGATTAATTCACTTCTTTCGTTAAGTAACTATATCACTTCACCATCTAACGTTGCCATTCACATTAACAAATGAGTAAATTTAAATTAAAGATGATATGATAAATTGTTTAAGCATATTATTATTTATTTGTCAGAGACAGATATCAATTGAAAAATCAATGAACACCAAGATGAACTGAACAGTTGTTCCGTTCCAAATTTAAGGACCCTAAAAGAGTGTACATTTAGAATTTCATACATAATAATATCAGTTTGCAAAGATAACCATCTATTCAAGCTGAACAGTTCGCTTCAAAAACCTATAAGTATATGATACTGTCATTCTTGCCAATGATTCAGTTTGAGATGAATCTCTCAAGGCTCTAATATGAAGTCTTTGCTATCAAAATATTCCTTTTTGAAATAAAATAGCTATTATAGATGACATCATGTGGTTTTCCTACTCTAATGAATAACTGATTGAAGAAAGAAATACAGATCATTTTAATATGAATCAACTACTTATCGTAAGATCTAAAGGTTAGGTATTCGATCACGTACATGGTTGTGTTATAATTGTGCGAACTTGTCGTGTAATATAAAGATGAATAATAAAAAATATACCCATACCTAAAAAATAAAATACTAAGTATCAGTACACTACTTATCAATTTAAATGATGGTTTTATGATACAGAAATAAAAGAAATTGTATATCCGAAAAGTATACTACTTCTATTTGTTATCATAATTAAATTGTTTTACTAAGTAAAATTAAAAGTCATAATTTCCCGGTTTGTAGACTGATATTTGTCTGAATGCTTACATCTTCATACAATAATAGGTCAACTTCACGTTCATTATCGAAAGCACTTTCATAAAAAATAACTATAATAGTCTAAGCACGATATTACAATGTATTGGTTTTGGTTTTAAACGGTCAATGGTAGCTATCTTAAAATACTGGGTTATATTGTCTTGTTTGTTTGGTATTTATCAGGAAAAAGTCTATAAATATTTACAATGAAATTAAAAAAACTTTCGTATGAACGTAAATAGCTTTCAACTTACTTATTCAGTCAGCTGAAACTAACCTTCGTAAAGTTTTACATATCTCTAGTACATTTCAATTCGTTTTTTTAATAGAAAAACAAATAATATGAGACTTATCAATAAAGTTTTCACCACCGAATGTCTTTACCTGAAGAAGCATCCCGAGTTGGTAAATGCCAAACTGATGTAATATTAATTTTAATGAGGCACTTCTCATCAAACACATTCAGGACTACACATCTATCTACTGCATCATGATTTTTCAGAGATTTTTAAACTGATATCGATTGGCGAGAAAATATGGTTTCCAAATAGAATAATTATCATATATCCTGGGACGATCAATTCTCACAATGGGTTGATCACTGGGTGATGATCAATGTGATGTCTGTCAATTCCTTCTTAGCTCAGATCGGATACTATCTCAAAATAGTGCACGCAGTGTCGAGTCACCTAAACTAGTGGCCACATTACAACTTGGTTGATAGCATTCGATCTGCACTAAGAACGAATTGACACACATGGCATTGATCACCACCCACTGGTCAATCAATTGTGATTACATCTCGGTCCTACAGGAGTTCGGTCACAGCCCGGATAGCCTAATGATAACATCTCTGAGTGACACGGGATCGAATCCGTCTGGGAGCACCAGTCCCCTCAAGATTACAGGTACAGCTTGCTGACGAGTGCCAAATAGCACGAAAGCCGGGTTCAGGGTTTCCTGTTGACTACCTCCAACTACCATCTAACGATCAGTTCTAAATTTTAATAGCTGAGATTAAGGGTTAATTGAAACTAGACCACCATGCAAAACCTGGAAGCACTGTCGTCAATTTTAGACAACCTATATGAACATGTAATGTATTTTTCTTACAAATGATATCGTTTCAACCTACATAACTAGTTTTACCAATAGTAATCTAACAGTCTACCATACTTGACAGTTGAATAACTGCACTTGAGCGTATATTCAAAATATTTTTTTAAATTGTATATCATTGAAAAAAAGATGGTTATCATTTATTGTAGCAAGACTGCTAGTCTTTGTTAGCTTATAATTTTTCTTTTGTAAAAACGATTACCATAATTATTTATTTTGATATGAAAAGTAGGTAACTAATGCGAAAAAACCGAAGAGAATTTTATCGATTAATGGTTTTGTTATGCATTTCAAAATAAAATTAAGTTTGCTTGAAGACAAATTTATTTGCCTGACTCACTATATGACCTGGTTGTACGTTTTAGGCATTACTCGGTATATACTTCTGTAAATTCTTGTCCACTAACTACGTTTGTTTATTGCTCCTCATAATTATTACCTGGGCTTTTAAGAAAGGATTTTTTTAGGTGCAGAGAAGACTGAATACACCTAGTATAGCACAGAGTAAATCCTATAATACAATTAGAAATAAAATAGCAAAGAGATGTTCGAAATCTTGCAAAAAACGGCTAGGTGATATTTTATCAGATACAAACAACTAATTCCATTTGTATGTTTCCCCTTTTGTGTCTGACAGAACAAAATGCAGATATGTTAGGCTACATTTAGACAAATTAAAGTATAAAAGCTTAACAGTACTGTATCTAGCCTATATACTATGCAACAAACAGTCTGTGTCAATCGAGTAATTCATAACTTATGCTCAAGAACCTATTTTTAATTCAGTGTTCTATAGATCCGTACTACAAATATTTCGTGTAATTTTATATATACATATGTAACTACTGATATTACGTTTAAGTAGTCTATATCTATTCGATAGATTTTCCACCAGCTCTGAGGTGATTATACTGAGGGAAGGTGTATGATGAAATTAACAGAGACGCTAATAATTTTAAGCAATATATATTTTAGGAGAGTGTTACATGAACAATCAACAACAATTTTCAACATTCTGTGTTGAAGTAACTACTTATTTTTAATATGATGAAGCTAATCCGTATATTAGTCATTTTTAGTATAAAAATTTCACGAGTGAGTAATGTTAGCTAAAACATATGTTCACTCAGAAATAATGAACTAAATGTTGATATCTACTAAACACAATTAGACGGTATCTAGCAATGGAATTCAGAATGCTCTTTTCCCCCCATTGGATAGCTAGTTCTATTC